GAAGCCGCGCAAACACCTCCAGAAAAAGTTATTGTTTTCATTGTTTCTGACTCAAGCAACCTTGCATTTTAATAAATAATGTTACATAAAGACAATTAAACAGTCAGTAATAAATGAACAAGTAGCCTGCAATGCAATAGCACAAGGATACAAATGAAACAAACTGTGTTTTAACTTTTTCAGGTAGGCAAGCCTAAAACTAACAGTAGCTTCTATTGTTCAGGAACAAAATACTATGATGTATAAAGTCATAAATATAGATTATATTTATATATTATTCCATATTAAATATGAAAAAGTTTAGTCAAGAGCAGAGTGATTTTCTTTTCTTTTGTTCTTTAACACAGACTGACAGACAGCAGGTATAAAAGCTGCAATCACTTTCATACCAAATGTTAATGTTAACAATGTTAATTAATTATTGGTTATTGTTAATTAATGTTAACAACAAAAGACAAAATCACTCACTGCTCTTGACTGAATAACTTTTGTAACTTTAATTTTAAGAATTAATCTGTTGTTTAATTTACAGTGAATTTACTGTTTTTAATTTACAGTTTATTCCATTTCTGCTGCATTTCTGTACCTGAATGTTTTCCACCAAAACGGTTTCTTAAATGAAATTCAGGTCCTGAGTTTAATTTATAATACTTGCTAAGCAACTTACAATATACTTAACATTCTGGCATTCAGTTATGTGATTATGTAGCCTAACTTATGTTCTCTGCATGAAGTAACGTCTGGCGCAGTCGCAGCCTGTGCTTATTAGAAAGCAAACAAATAGCACTAATAATCATTCATTTTCCGAACATTTGTGTAAAATAATGGAGCATTAGTTCATGAATATTGCCTTAAGTCATTGAAATTTATTGGTTGAACGAACCCTGCATTTAATGAGCGAATGCCTACGATATAGGAGTTAGCCTATCACACAAACTAGAGTCCTGTTTTTCAGAATATCTGCACTATCGCAAATGTACAATAAACAAGTAACTGAATAACTTTCAGACACAAAATTCTGTTTTGCCCCATCAATGCATCTCCGAGCAACACAGTGTTTTGTTTCTCAGCATTACACAGCGCAGTAAATGGTTCAAACAGACTATTAGTACAGTCTTTTGCTAAGTTAAATGAATTGAGTTTCATATTTTAAAAAGTAGCTCATTATTTCATTTTTGCAATTATGTAATATTTCTACATTAAAATGTTGTATTTAAACTTAACATAACTTATGCAAAATCCATCTATGGATTTTGTTTATAGTGATTTCATTTGATTGTTAATAGCCAACATGTTTTTTTTATTCAGATTGAATTAATTAAATTTAAGAATGACATAAAAGGACACAGATATGACAATACACTTTCATAATACATCTCTTTGGTTTTTTCTGCTCAGTGTTATTTCAGGGTTTTGATCTCTCAACTGAGAGATCACATCCTGTTTATTGTATTATAGTGACTACTTAAAGGTGCAATGTGTACATTTTAGCGGCATCTAGCGGTGAGGTTGCGAACTGCAACCAACGGCTAAGTCCCCCGCTCCCCCCTCCCGTTAGAGAAGCTACGGTGGCCGATACAGGACTAAGATGTCGTCGGTAAAGAGTAAAGACAGCAAAGATTTGTAAAGATTTCTTTACAAAAGGTAAATTAGGGAATTATATTTACTTAATTACTTAATAAACCGATGTTATTGCGAATGTTAATGTACTTGTTCATCATTGTGTCAGTGTTTTATTCGCAAGAACAACAGTGACGAAACGCCCTCTGTAGAGCAGTTTGTCTGTTTAGGGCTACTGTAGAAACATGGTGGCGACTTCCATGTAAGGGTTACTTAATAAACCGATGTTATTGCGAATGTTAATGTACTTGTTCATCATTGTGTCAGTGTTTTATTCGCAAGAACAACAGTGACGAAACGCCCTCTGTAGAGCAGTTTGTCTGTTTAGGGCTACTGTAGAAACATGGTGCTTCCTTCCATGTAAGGGGACCCGTGGTGTATGTAGATATAAATTGCTCAATCTAAGGTAATAAAAACATAACGGTTCATTAAGTAAGGTCTTTATACACCTCTGAAAACATAGTTATGTATATTATATTGCATTTCTGTCAATATATCGATGTAAATATTACACACTGCACCTTTAATATTACATCTAAACTTTGACTAGGCTAGACATGTTGCCTATTAAATGTATACAGTATATGAACCTGAAAGCATATTTAAATTTTGGTGTATTTTGTGTTACTCCATAATAATGTTCTAGTTGAGGGCATTTGTAGTATAGGTATGGGGCCCAAACATACCCTCAAGTGATGTCCACATCCATTGCTGCAGCATTTCTCATCATCCGGACAGTGACCGTCTTGGGAACACATCTCAGCACAATCTCCTATCATGTCATCTTCAAGATTGATTTTTGGACACACTCCTGGTTTTTCTGTTATACAAACACATGATAGAGAAAGCAGATCACAATGCCTCACTGCATTTAATTTTTTTTTAACTAATTTAATTCACATTAATAACAATATAAATACCTTTATATGGAGGCATACACTGATGTCCACATCCATTGCTGCAGCATTTCTCATCATTCGGACATTTACCGTCATGGGAACACAACTCCAAACACGCTATGAACACTGCTCCATCAAGATTGAATATAGGACACACTCCTGGCTTTGCTGATATACAAAACACATAACAGAAAAACCATGATCACTGAATAAAAAAAAAAAAAAAATCTGTCAATTATCTTCTCATTTCTCAAATCTCTTCAAAATTTCAAGTTTAATTCAATGTGCTGCTTGCAGTTTCTGTGCCTTCTAGAGCAGTCTTTATTAGAAACATTATTAGAAACTTTATTAGAAACGGCACAACTGTCAGTTTCGCCTGGCCATTAATGAAGAGGATTCACGAGGATCATTAGGGGAAACCAGGGAGAGCAGCTCCATTTCATACATGGTTGTTATTGTTTACCTTTTTTTGGCTGTGCCTCTCCGTTTCCTGAAAGCAGATAGGAGGCCTCAGTTTGTTAAGTGAAAGGAAGAGGCTCCATTATATGTTTTGTCTAATGTCAAAACAGGATGTGCAGCTTTACCATAAAATGTATGTCTAGATAGTAATAATAAATAGTAGAATAACTTAATAAATGGCTATATTCATATTAATTATACATGATTAATAAAAATCTTCTACACTATATAGCACCTTAACCACGCCAAAGCCCCTGTATAGTCCTTGAAAGGTTCCCAAACTCTTTTGGTTTAGTTGGGTAAAGGGTTAAAAAAAAAAACCCGTTAATGTTTAAATTACGCTGAAGGAGGAATATCTGCAAGATATTTTTTTTAGAGTGTTTACAATCAAATGTCAAATAGATGCTTAGAAAATGTCTTTAAGCTCTTTATGATTTAGAATGCATGTAAAACGGATGTCTGAAAGATTTCTCAGAAGTTTGTACACAGCAGATGCTTTCTAGATAAAGCGATCTTTAACAGACATCTTTGCAGACGTGCGCTATCTGGGATTGGAGGATGAGAGAAAGCTAAAACATGATTGGCTGTTGTCTCTGAATGAATATGTAAACTGATAAGAGGCTAGACAGTAGGTCCAGGAGGTGTTTGTGAAGTCAGTTATATACTGAAATTGTGACCCATTTCAATAAAAAGGCTATGGGACTCATTCACGAAACTTGCAGAAATAAATGAGAAGTAATTTGCCATTAAACACACAATCCCGAAAACGCTCCTCCGGATTAACAAACACTTCATAAACAGCATATTTGATATTTAAATGTGTATGTTAATGAATTCCAATCATTTATAAATAGGGCACGCATGCACGCCCATTCACAATTAGCGTAATCCCGGAGTATAAATTACAATTACGCAAATTGCATGTCCAGGAACGCTGTGGAACCTTTTGTACTCCCTTCTCAGGTTTGTGAAATATTCACTTGTGAAATATTATATAGTGCATCAAAATGCAGTGTCATCAGTTTTCCAAAAGCAACAACGTTTTACGCACTGTTTACATGCGGTAGGGATCAGGGCCCGTATTCACAAAGCATTTTATTTTACCACTAAGAGTTCTCCTAAATAGCAGTAAAAGTTTTTAGCTAAGAGTTTGCTCTTAAAACCTATTCACAAAGCTGCGGAGACAAGCTTTTACTAAGGAATAAAGAAGTCTTAAGCTAAGAGTAAGGGGGCGGGGTTGACCTCGTTGCTATGGATGATGTCAGCATACTTATTAACTATGCACACAGTGATTGGCTTAAAGTCTCTGTCAGAGATTTATTCATAGAAATATTGTAGAGCGCGATATTATGTTGCCATATTCAAATAAAGAGTTAAAAATGCAGGCTAAGTGTCACTAATTAAACAAGTATATATTCAGCTAATTGTCAGCCTCTTATATGTATGCTTCTCGTAAACAATTAGACAATATGCATATAAACAGCCTTTTAATTAACAGAGTAGAATAATCATGGCTGACAGTAAGACATGCAAACATAAAAGAAAACCATCTATATATTATGAAAGAAGAACATCTATATATTAAGGATATAATAAAAACAATTTGGAGTTGGGATAACCTCCAAACCAAAGCAGATACCTTTTTAAAAGCTCATTATTGTCAAAGGTTTCTAAAATGTTCATATTCCGAGGCAGATTGCCGGCAACAGCCATTTTAGGATAGTTCAGATTTGGTCTCAGTGATTTAGGAGTCCTCTTCACTACTCCTACCGTTTCACAGATTTAGGAGCTAGTTCTAGCGCTAAAACGCTTTGTGAAATACTCTTAGAACAAATTTAGGAGTCCTACATTTAGGACTGACACGCCCATTATTTTTAAAGATTTTCTCCTAAATAGGCGAGTTATGAGCTACTTTTAGCCTTAAGATGTTTTGTGAATATTGGCCCAGGTGTACATTTTTTTCGTACCAAAAATATGAACATTTCATGAATTCAAAAGTTTACGTCAGAATAGTTTTACGAACAATTTACACTCAAATTAGTTTTGCTAACGTTTCATGAACGGGGCCATGTTTATATATTAACTGCTTTGCGTTATGTAGTCAGATAATTTGGTATATAAATAGGTGCCATGTAGTGCCAAAAGAGGCTCCCCTATGATTGCGAGCCAAAGAACCACTGTTGGCTGATGGGCTACTGTGACAAAAGGTGCTTGTATAGTGCTATTTAGCACCATTTTGGTTTATGAGTGTACCATCACAACCAGTTACATTTAAGCATTTTCATTCACAAGAAATAAATCAAAATATAGTTTGTAGCAAATCAGACAGAACACATAAAACCCATAATGTGCGATATATGATAAGCGATCATATAAACTCTGATCTTAAAGATAATAAATCAACTTAAAACTAAATAATAAACTTAAAGATATAAACCTTATTAGGCTATTTAAACTAAACTTAAAGATATAAACTTTATTAGGCTATTTAAACTACACCAACATGTAAAGTTTAACTTCAACTGGACATCTGTACTGTATATTTATATGACATGTGCCTAAAGTCATAATGTGTACGTATACTTATTTACATATTTTCTTCGCGCTGTGTAATGAAGTTAAAAGATCTCACCTGTGACTAGTTTTTTGGCGTCTGTTGTGCTCAAGTAAACAGAGAGACACAACAAAACAGCAATCAACGAGCAGCACACCCGAGCTTTCATCCTCTCGACCTGTGGAAAACAGTGGAAAATGTGCTGAAACTAAACTTTGACTAGGCTAGACGTGTTGCATATTAATTGTACTAAAACCTCAAAGCATATTTAAATTTTTGTGTAGTTTATTTTACTCCATAATGATGTTCTAATTGAGGGCATTTGTATTGTATAGGTAGGGCCCAAACATAACCTCAAGCCCAGGGGCCCCGGCACCCTAAGTCCTGCCCTGGAACTCGTTACTTGTGAACTGGGAGTTTTCTGAGAGCTACAACTTGTACTACCTGACCACCCCAGATTCATTAAGCGATATGTTTAGGCATTTATAGTGCGATAGTTCCGAATCCGAGTCCAAGGATGTGAACAGCTCCAAGTAGAACGTCACGTGTTGTCATCTTGAAATCACAGTGACTACGACATGCCGTGAATGCAGCTTTTGATTACGGGTTTGGCGGAGTGGACTTCTGGAATCAATTCGGTAGGCTCCATTTAATTTTGGTCAATATCAAGGTTTTCATAGTGGTGTTTATGACACTTTATATAGATGAGCATATAGTTCAATCCATAAAGCTATTGCTGTCTGATTTAATTTGTATATGCAGTATTTTTCTACTTTGCCTATTGAAAAGTTTGACTGTAGAATGTTTTCTAAGAAGTTCGGTATGCTATTTGTTATTTATCTGTATATAATCCTGTTGAAACAAGTTGGTCTTGTGGAGGCAGGTCTTGGGTATTAGAGTCATGGACTGAAAATAGGCCCCATTCTGGCCCTGTTTCAAAGTGTAAGGTATTTTCCTGATAAAATAATTTCTTTATGTGCTGGAACATCAAAATTCTTAAAAATGTCAAAGTTCCTGCTTGCCACACATTCACGTAAACACAGTTGGTTCCACTGGTGCAATTCCTGGGGCGGGGGAAGTGAATTAAAAAAAAACTTTGAAAAATGTGCTTTATTTTTGACTATACAATCTCTATTCCGTTCCTGCTGAAAGGTGGCTCAAAATACTCCAGATAGCATGAAACCATTGAAACATATTAAGTCAATGCTAATGCGTAAATGCTAATTGCATTGAATTAATGTTACAAAGTGATGTTGGATCAATATCACTTTTGCACCCGCAACTAACGCTGAAACAAGGTTGTGATTTCAGAATATTTAATCAACGGCTATGATGTTCATGCTACAGCAATGTTGAATCAACATTGAAATGAACAAGAATCATCTATAATATTGTTCAGAATGAAAAAATTATAATATTGTTGGATCAATGTTACATGTTGATTCTAAATCCCTTTTGCTGAAACCCTGAAAATACAACTGAGATGTCAAAATAAAAGAGTGTTGCCATCTGATGTACCAAGTACATGTTGAAACAACATTAATGTTTCAACTATACTTCAATGGTACACCAAGAAATCCCTAATTCCAAAGTTTGGAGAAAACTTAAAAAAATAAAACGAACACCTGAACACACCTTGGTAACAAACACTTGAACAGTTTGTCTTAACTTTAAAAATACATTTTTTTACTAAATAAACAGTTCTATGCTCTACATTGTGTGCCAAAAACGTTATAAACAGAATTTTAACATAGTAAAAAAAAATAAAACAAACAAAAACATTTTAATTGGTCAAAGCAAGAATGTTCTGCAGGAACACATTCAGTCTTCTGAATACAGTAACGCGTTACTGTCGTTTATTTTCTTTCTGTAAATGCAATGGACTCTTTAGAACAGGGTAAATTCACAAATATTAGATCAATAAAAACAAACAAACAAACAAAAACGTTTTAATTGGTCAAAACAAGAATGTTCTACAGGAAAACATTCGGTCTTCTGAATACAGTAACGCGTTACTGTCATTTATTTTCTTTCTGTAAATGCAATGGGCTCTTTATTATAATCTCATTACAATTTTTGCTCTCCCATGGGCACAAAACATTTTTCAATTCAAAACGTCTGCATCCCAGGATATTGGAAAGGAAAAAGAGGAAAGGACATGACGTGTGGCCAAATATGAAGTCCCATACTCAGAATTTGCATTATGCATTTGACCCATCTAAGTGCACACACACAGCAGTGAACACACACAAGGAGCAGTGGGCAGACATTTTTGCTGCGGCACGCAGGGAGCAAGTTGGGGTTCTGGTGCCTTGCTCAAGGGTATTGAGGGTGGAAGAGAGCGCTGTTCATTCACTTCTCCACCTACAATCTCTGCCGGTAC